CATTCCTGCCTGAGCATAGGATTTCTGGTCTGGCTCCGGCCCAGGGTCTTATTTCTCTCCAATCAGAGTTTGGAGGACAGAGAACAGGGCTTATGGGACATATTCGCTCCTTCCTCAGTCTTTTCCAATTCTTCCAGAAACTGTTGGCTGCCAGTCTGAGTTCTTCAGAAGCCACTTTTACATTTCTGAGCCACCCAAGACCTCCCCTCTGCTTGCAATTTCCTTAGCAGGGAGGAGGGTGGGTCCTGGGCAAGACATTGGTCCACCTTCCTGGGGGACCTCCCTGGGCTGCTCACCTTTGCTGTGTGTGTGCAGGGAGACAGCCAGGCCTGCCGCCACCTAGAAGAGCCCTCTGGAACACAGAGGCGAGTTCCCACTCAGTGGAGTGAAAAAGAGCAAAGGGAGCCACCAAGTGTGTGTATGTGCACGTGTGCGTGTGTGTGCGCCCTTTCAGAAAACAGTAAAGAGGCCTCCACTTCCCAGACTGCAATCAGGTTTCTTGGCGGAGGCTGTTGCGGTATTTCTATCTCAGCCAGCCGATTTGATCCCCTCTTTGAAACAGCCCCAGAGCCCTGAAACATGGGGACAGATGGCCTCTTCCCAGCACAGCGCAAGCCCCCCACCCCCGCTCTCCACACGGGCTGCCTCCCAGCCTGCTGCTGGCGCGGGAGGAATGCGCGGTGCTCCCAGAGAGGCTGGCAGCCGCCCCACCGCTTGGCTCCCAGATCAGAACCATCTGGTGGAGTGAGGGAAGTCAGGACGGTGCCCGGAGAGAGGCAACGCTGTCCTCGGTGGTGACAGCGCCAGGCTTAGCTGGCACAGTGGGAGACACCCAGGACAGGACTCCAGAGAGGGCGCACGCAGGCATGTTGCCCTGAAAGCTCAGCATGTTCCCGAATTCACATCGTTGCCTCTTGTTTTCACAAATGTGTCTCACAGGGACTCCTGGGATTCATTGGCCTGGTCGGGGAGCCAGGAATTGTGGGAGAAAAGGTAAGTGGTATCAGGAGAAAGAGAGAGTTAGAGCTCGTATTTTGAAATTTTAAAAAGAGGCAAAGGGGCCATTGACCACAGGGGACCACTGTCCCTGGCCTCTCCCAACACCTGGCATTCAGATCCTTGGAGAGCCATGCTCCCCTTTCCCAGAAGTCCCAGGGCTCCTCCCCTGCCCCCCGTCATCACCCTCACACACAGCAGTCAGCGATGCCTGTGACCGGGGCCTCCCGGCTGGCAGTGCTCACAGTGGGCAGCAGAAAGGAGGGAAACGCCCATGTTTTAGAAAGATGAAAGATGGGGTTGGCTCCACGGCCTGGTGGTTAAGGCAGCCTGGTCCCACATGCTGATCCCGTAGCTCAAGTCCCAGACATGGTGGCTTGAGAAACATGCCAGGCACTTGTGTGCATGCGTGCCCAAAATCCAGAAAGGGAGAGGAGGAAGAGAAGGGCTTATGGCATGACCATTCCCCATGGGGGATGCTTTCTCCCTCTGTCTTTGCTGAGTACACATGCCCTATGGGAAAGTTAAAAAGAAAGGAAGGAAGGAAGGGAGGGAGGGAGGAAAGAAAGAAGGAAAGAAGGAAGGAAGGAAGGAAGGAAGGAAGGAAGGAAGGAAGGAAGGAAGGAAGGAAGGAAGGGAGGGAGGGAGGGAGGAAGAAAACGAAGGCTGAAAACGTCCTTAGATTGCCTCGTCCTTAGATTGCCTCGTTAGCCCCCAGGAGCTCGGTCTTATAGGTGAGAAAACTGAGCCTCCTGTAGGGGAAAGGACAGTAAATGTCAGAGGTGGCACTCCAATCAGGTTCATTGCCAAAGGCCACTCTTCGCTCACTAGGACACTCTGTCACCTTGGCTCCCAGGAAGGAAAGGAAACAGCCCAGCAGGCACCTGCCTTCCTCTGCGTTGACTTATCTGACCCCAGAGCAGGCCCTCTGGGAGAGCCAGTATTGTTCCCATTGGGCAGAGGGGGAAACCGAGGGCCAGAGAGAGGACACATCCCAGCTAGTCTGGCTGTCCCTGCATTCCCAGGCATCCGCACCTCACTCTTCATCACACTCTGTGGCCCAGACCCACTGGCCTCTGTCTTCTCCCTCCTCCTCCTTCTTTCAAATTTACTTTTTATTCTGAAATAGCTACACATTCACCAGAGCTACAAAAAATAGTACAGAAAGGTCCCATGTACCTTTCACCCTGTTTCTTCCGATGCTAACAGCTTAGGAAACTGTAATAAGACATCGAGGCCAACTCTGGCCTTCTTGTGCCACTCGAGTGTCCCCATGTGCCTCCTCACACACACACACCAGCGCCCACTCCGTTCGCTTGGCCGGGCTCGCCCTTGCCAGTCCCTCCCGCCTTCCCTCCCCGGTCTGGATGACTCATTTATCCTCAGCTCCTGGCCGATGTGACTTCCTGAGGGCCACCCACCCCGGGCCCCCTAGTGTCACACAGCCTCAGCACCGTGACCCCTCCCTCACTGCGTGTACCTGAGGGTGCATCTCTTCTGGCGACTCGTGGGCATCTCCCTGCAACACCCTGAGCATCTTGCTCCATGGGAGCGGGCCTGCCTACTTTCCAAGTCCAGCTATAGTGTCGGGCACACAGTGGGTGCTTCATAAACGCTGGCTGAATGGATACAGGAAATAGAACCAGAGTCAGGATTTGAACCCAGAGCCCCTGCCTTCGTGGGTAGCTCTGTCACTACTCCCACCACGTCTGCCCAGTCTGTCCGGATTCGTCGAGAGGGAATGCGCTGTCTCTGATTCTCCCGCATCGCTTCTAGGTTTGAATGGGGGTGAGGAGAGGGAAAGCAATGCCTTCTCTTGCTATTTCTGCCTCAGCCAGCCCAGCCCCGGGATGCCAGGCCTAACAAGGACCACATGACGTGGGCCAGGATCAAAGCAGGCCGTGTAATGAGTGCATCCTTAATCAGCCCGCCCCTGCCCGAGGGACTCCCACCGCGGGGCATGCTCTGGTGGATACTGCGGCCTCCCAGGCCTTGCCCGAGGTCTTGGTTCCCACGAGTGAAATCTCAGAGCCCCACCTGGGGCGCTGTGTCCATGAGCTGGGCAAGGACTCTGTGTGGACCTTGGGCAAGTGCCTTCCCCCCACCACAGGCTATCCCAGAGCCACAGCCGTGACCTCCCCACATTGCTGTCTTCATCACAGGGAGACCGCGGCGTGATGGGACCCCCAGGACCGCCAGGACCCAAGGGGTCGATGGTAAGGAGTAAGTCCGCATCCTGCCTCCTCCTGCCGCTACCTCGGTGACAGCTCTGCTCTGCCTGCCTCTGCCTTCCTCTGCCTGGTGCCCGCGTCAGACACCCAGACGAGTCTCCTTCTCCCACGCAAAGGCCCTCTGTTGTCCTCAGGGCCAGGCGAGGCGGAGCCAGCTGAGGCGGGACGGGAGGAGGGAGGAAGAGGCACCCTCCCAGCTGACTCCTTTTCCTCCTTTCTTGATAGGGTCATCCTGGAATGCCAGGTGGCGTCGGGAACTCCGGAGAGCCTGGACCCCTGGTAAGCAAAGCCCTCACGTTCCTTTGTCAATCCGGAGTTAGTCCAGGCTTCAGGATCAGACAGATGTGGGTTCAAATCCCCCCTCCACCGCTCCCTGTATTCCTGAGGCAGATCTTTTAACTCCTCTCAGCCTAAATTGTACTCATCTGAAAACCAGAGGGAAGAAACGGTGTGACTGCGAGCGAAGTGGGACCGTGCAGCTGCCGTGCCCGGAGTGGTGTTCTCGCCAGGACCCCCGTGGTCCCTCGCGGCATCGTCATGAGTCCATTCACTCACGCGCACTAAGGGCCATGGATGTGGCCCTGGCTGCTCCAGGAGCTGGGCCCAGCAGTCAGCAAAGCAGAGCGCGGCCCTGCCCTTTATAGCTTGTATTCTGGCATGGGCAGGGGTGTGGGGGGGAGTTGAAGAATCCAGTGGAGGGGTGACGCCTGCTAGGGAGGAAGCAGGCAAGAAGATGGAGATGCTCAGAGCAGGCTGGGGCAGAGCCAAAGGGCCCAGGGTTCCAGCGCTTCCCTGGACGACCGAGGAAGCAGGGCTATTCCGTGGATCTCAGCCTCTCCCCGAGTGATGGGGAGGCTAGGAGACCAGATTCAGGGGGGCTGGGGAAGGAGGGGTTGCTGTCATTTGCAGGAGGCAGAGCTGGTTTGGGTCCCTGCTCGGAGCAGGTGAGCCAGGAAGGGCATCTGCCTTAACCAAAGCCAGAGATCTGGCCAGGCTTCCTGTGGGTGGGAAGTGGGTGGGACAGGGGGTACCCGCTCAGGCCCAGGTACCAGGACAGAGCTCAGGGGTGATGAGTTCAGGTCACCTGGACCTGCAGAGCCCCACGGAGTTGGAGAGGGCGCCCATGATTTACGCCTCCATGATTTGAGCCCGAGGGAGGCTGGCACCGACAGACCAGGCCCCGGGGCAGATGAGTAAGGTCAGGCCAACTCAGTTCCCGCACTTTTTTGTGCACCTACTGTGTGCTGGGCATGTGCTCAGCCCTGGAGGTGCAGAAGTGGTAAGCAATAGGTCCTGCTCTTAAGACTCTCACTGTCTAGTGGAAGTGTCGGGTATAAACATTCTATCCGCTGTAATAGACTTCCACTGAGCACCTACTATGTGCAAGGCAGTACTAGGTGCCCAGGAGAGGCTTGGAGGAACTAGCCCAAGGGCAGGAAGCCTGCACATCAGTGATGGTCACCCAGGAAGAGGGTACTAAGCACCAGGTGGCTCTGTCATCCCTACACCCTTTGAAGAGGTGGAAGCTCTCCTCATGCAGAACGGGGTCAGAAGCTAGCATTCTTGGGCTCCCAGCATCTCTCATTGCCCTGTTCATGGAGGAGGAAGGAAAGCCACATCGGGCCTGGAGCTAGAAGGGCTGGTAACATGGAAGTGGGACCATATAGGGCAGAAGCTGGCAGTCAGAGAACCAGTGTGCTCGCCGGTGGGGCTGGCGTGTGGGCTGCAGTGCCCGGCTCCCTCCCCAGTGTTTGGAGATGCAGTGACTGGAGCCTATCAGAGTGAAAGGTGCCCAGGAAAGGGCCAAAGCCCCGGCAAGGATGCTTAGGGCTTATTATCAAATTCTACCTCCTCCACCCCGGGCCTCAGGCTCCCTGGGGCTCAGTCTTCTTATCTATCCACTGGGAGGAGAAAAGCCTGGCAAGGTGTCCCTGGGACAAATGCAAATCCAGTGAGAGACAGGACAACAGTGGAGACATCCAGGCAGGCGCAGAGAAGGAAGGTGCTGGCCGCCTCTGAATCCCGCACCTTCCTGGCTCTGCTCATCCTCCCACCCCACCCCCTTCTGGTGCATCCTCTGTTCAATGGGTTGGCCCAAACCTGGTGAGCCCAGACAGGACTGGCTGCCTTCTGATCCCAGTGCCGTTGATCCACCCCTGCTGCTGCAGTATGGGGCTGGGCCTTGGATGCTTCCAGCCAATCAGCTGCCCCTGGTGCCCCCAGAGAAGCAGACAGAATAGCTTCTGGGAGGCCCAGAAAACTCACTCTCGAACCAGACACCTGGGAGTCAAATCCTGGCTCTCCACTTACTAGCCGTGTGATTGTTGACGGCTTGCATAGCCTCTGAGTCTCAGTTTCCTTATCCGCACATCAGCAGAACATTAACTTCATGTGGACATTGTCGTGGGGAATAAATGTGGGTGCATGCTGTAGGCTAGCCAGCACCCTGCATACACCACGTGTTGAACGAGTGGTGGTGAGTAGTAACTGCTTGTCAGACATGCTGGCTCCGGCTGTTACCAGGATCGTTACCATTCAGGGACGTTTCTGCTGGCACTGCTCCCCTGTCATTGGCCTTCTCCCACCTCCCCCGTACACGGTAGCCTCCATGTTCTCCTGTGGGTCACTGAGGCCAGTTGAGGTGTTTTTTCCCATTATGTGGGGGTGGGTCCCTCTGGGACCTGCCCAGGGTCAGCCAGTGACCAGAGCTGGGTCTTCCATGCAATTTGACCTCCTCCCACTTTGAGAGAGCAGACACCTTTTACCATGGACTTCCCTTGCCATGTCCTCTCAGCTGTTCTAGGGACTTTTCTTATCCTCACTTTATAGATGACAAAACTGAGACCTACAGAATTTAGATGACACAATTAGTAAGTGGCAGAGCGGGGATTTGAACCCCAGTTGGCTGATGCTATGGCCTGCTTTTCAAAGCACGCCACTGCCTCTACTTAGAGACTTGGCTCCTGGAACTTCCCGGCAGCACATCGCATGTCTTCCAAGGTCTGAGATCACTCCATAAAATGGCCCGTTCTCACCCAGTCTTCGCGTGCTCCACCATCCGAGAGTCGGAGCTGCCTTTTTACTGGGCCAAGCTGGAGTCCACACCCTGCCTGCTCTCCTGACAGGGGGTCAGTCTGGGACCCAGCCCCTCACATCAGCCCCTTGGCAGCCCCTGTTAAAAGGTCTGCCACGGGACGGGGCTGGGCCTGAACCCCTCAAGGCCAAGGAGAGAGAGAGAATTGGGGGCGGCGAGAGATCGTCCTGAGGTCCCCAGTTGGGCTGGGTCTTACTCTGGTATTCCCAGGGCCAGGCTGTGTCTTCCTTGGAAGACAGCACACCCGGCCTGAGGCCCCGGAGCTGGGAGGCTCTTGCAGCTGTCAGGGGGTCTTGGCTATTTGAGGGGATGAAGTCGCAGCCTCTGGGCTGTGGAGCGGGGCTGGAAGCATGGCAAGACTTCCTGCCTCACTCTCGGTCTCCTTCTCCTGCCTTCCCTTTGCCCTCTTCACTCGTCCATGTGTTTATCATTCACTCAACGGATTCCTAAGTCCTCGTCACATGTCTGTGCTGGGCCAGGTGCTGAGAATTCAAAGAACGAAGCCGCCCTAGGGTTTCCATGGGCCTCCCTCCTCTGTCCCTCCCGGTCATTATCTTCCTGTCATTCCTTCAACAGGCCGAGATAACTGGGCATTTCTCTGCTCCCAGGCCCTGCTCCCCGCTATGTGCCTCCACTGCCCCCTCTCTGCCCCTCCTCCCCACCTCCACCCTCGTAGATCCTCTCCCAGCCACCCCTCTGCTTCCCAAGCCGACCTCAGGGCCGGGTCCTAGTTTCTTCCCTCCCCGTGGGCTCTGCCTACCCTGCACAAATACAATGGGACTTCATTGGAAAAACTACAATGGAAAAACGGAATTAGAGTACAAGTTTATTTTGTTGTAGAAAAGTTTTGAAGTCTACACATCATTCTTTTCATAAATTGCATTTCCATGAACTTTTAAAAAAATGTGCTGGAGAGAGACAAAGAGGAGGGAACCAGAGCAAGCCTCCCCACGGAGGATGGTGACCCTGCAATCCCTTCTCCGTTTCTCCCTCCTCTCGGGATTTTGGGCACACTCACATGCAGGCCTGGAGTGTTTTTCAAGCTGCTGGGTCTGGGACTCTAACCGCACTGTGACGTGGGACCCAGTGCCTTAACCATCATGCTACCAGCGGCCTTCCATGAACTTCCTGATGACTCCGTGGATCTGGAGTTGTACTTGGCTGTTGGGTGGGGATGAGGTGCAGCACTGGGGTTGCCACGTTCTCCTCACTGATGGGGGAGGAACAGGTAAACAGGAACTGGGGACCAGCAGGTGGCATAGTGGTTAAGGCACTGGACTCCCACGTCGTTGACTGGGGTTCAAATCCCAAACTTGGTGTCTTAAACCTCATGTGTGTGTGCGTGTGTGCCCAAATTCCCAAGAGGAGAATGGAGAAGGGACTGTGGTGTGGGTATCCCTCCTCGGGAGTAATTCTTACTTTCTATCTCTCTGTCTCTCTGGTGAGTGCACGTGCCCTATAGCAAAAATCTCTCAAAAGTAATAATAACAGGGGACCAGCAGGTGGCATGGTGTTTAAGGTGCTGGACATTCCCACATGGCTGAGCACGGTTTAAGTTCTGGACCTGGCGGCTTGCTTTCTCACTTCTCTCTCTCTCTGTCTTTCTCTGTTCAAATTAAAAGAAAGGAATGAATAAACTTTAATCAAAAACAATTCTTTAAAAATGATCATAATAATAAAAGGTAATGAGAATTGGGGGAGACATTTCGTCAGAAATGTCATCATAGCTTCTTGCTGATTTTGAGGTAAAGAACCTGACCTTTAGGTAAAGTCTGACCCAGGGAGACTTGTCCCATTACCTGGATTCCCAGGTGGAGCCCAGGGCTTGTCAGATGTGTCTCCCACCCAGCGGGTGGCTGCACAGTCCTTCGACAGAGGCTGCTGGGGCCGGGCAGCACCTGGCTGGGGGACTGAGGAGCCTTCAAGCTCTGCCCCTGTGCTCCTGGCCCCAGTGTGACTCTCACCCCCTAGAAAGGGCTTTTCTAAACTCTTTCTCCTCCCCACAGGGTCCTCCAGGATCTCGAGGTGCACCAGGCATGAGGGGAGCAAAGGGACGCCGGGTAAGTGGAGCCCAGCCACTGGGGGCCAACGCTGATGGGTGTGCACCCTCGGAGCATGGCCACCTGCTGAGGCCACCTCTGGTCCTCACACCTGCCCAGCTCTGCGATCTGGGATGTTCATAGCACCAGACCAGGCTCCAGGCTCACCCTGGGCCTGGCTCTGGGCGTGGGGCACCCAGACACCTTTCCAACCCACTGGTGAGCCCCAGGCCTGACCATCCAGTGAACACAGATGGGCTCTCGGTACCAGGACTTTGTTCGGCCATTTCTTCATTCATTTATTCGACCACCTTTGCTTAGTGCTCCAAGGGGCCAGCCTCTTGGAGGCTCTGCAGATACTGCAGGGAGCAGGCCACCACTTGTCCTGTGGGCTTCATGGCCCAGTCAGCAGGTCGGACAGCTCCACAGACACAGAGGGAGCAGCAGTGGTCTCCAGCCTGTTTGGCACCAAGAACTGGTTTTGTGGAAGATAATTTTTCCACAAACGGGGGCGTGGGAAGATGGTTTCTGAGCACGCCGTCTGGATCCCCTGCATCAGTTGCCAATAGGGTTGGCGCTCCTATGAGACTCTGGTGCCTCGCCGATCTGACAGGGGCAGAGCTCAGGCAGTAATCGAGCGTTGGGGAGTGACTGGAAACATCTCCACCGCTCACCTGCTATGAGACCCTGTTTCTAACAGGCCATCGTCCGTGGCCCTGGGGTTGGGGGTTGGAGACCCCTGCTGGATGGGACGGAGTCCTCAGCACCTGGGTGGTGCAAGTGCCAGAGGAGGCACCTCACCTGGGCAGGGACTTTAGGAGAGGGCGATGTTTGAACCTATGCCAGTTCCGGGTAGAGAGACTGACAAGGGAAAGCCCTAAGATAAGAGGAAGAGTGGCATGTCTAGGGATCCAGGGGGCAACAGAGGGACCAGGAGGGGGTGGAGCCAACCCTTAGCAGCACCAAGCTGGGCAAGGCCTCAAAGCCACAGCTCTGCACCAAGGATAGTAGGAAGCCACAGGAGGTTTCAACAACGGCTGGCAGAGTAGTCACGGGTGATACCTGCGTGCCAGACACTACCACACACAGTAACTCCCTGAGTCCTCCGCACTCCCCTGGCAGGTCGGTGCTATTCCTATTCCCATTTTACAGGTAGAGAAACAGAGGCACAGAGAAGGTAGGTCATTTGTCTCAGGTTGCTCAGCCAGGAAGTGGCAGAGCTGAGGTTTGAACCCAGGGAGTCTGGCTAAGTGCATACTGAATTTAGCCTTACTTTCGCTCACTCAGGGAGGGTTGATGGAGTGGCCTCCTTTGGGGCCAACTGGTGGACAGGGGTCAGGCCACACAGTCACAAGGGGGGAATAAGATGGCCCAGGTAGAGCAGGCAGCCCGGGCCTGACATCAGACTCCATATGGGGGATCTGGGATTCTTACTCTCCACTTGGCTGGACTTCAAGAGGTTTTACAATTTCCCCCGAACCAGATGGCCTGACATGCAGGCCTGGAGAGTTTTTCAAGCTGCTGGGTCTGGGACTCTAACCGCACTGTGACGTGGGACCCAGTGACTTAACCCACATGCTACCAGCGGCGTTCCA